ACAATATAACATAAGTTTAATAAAAATAAAAATATTCCAGAGTAAGAAAATATATATCTATGATATATAAAAGAGAAGTAGTATCAAAATATTAAGCCAATTGACAAGTTCATAAAAAGTCACATTAGAAATGTATAGTATTTAGTACTTGCTAATTTAATAAAGAATAAATAAGGAACAAATAATTTATTTGATTACTATATGATGTGTATCATTCGATTTTGTATAGATTTTGTTATATTTTTGCACACAACATTAAATAATAAAATAACAACGAATCTTTATAAAAATAATATGATGTATTAGATCATAATTTTATACGATTAATATTCTGTCAAATTATCCGCACATAGCGCGAGTTCTAACACTAGTAATAAATATAAGAAGGGAAGCAGAAATCATAATTTATAATATTAAATTTTTTTGGTTTCATTTTCCGTCTCGATTTCCTAAATGAAATCCCGCTGGAGTTTTGATTTAAAAAGTCACGTTTCCAATTTCCATTTTTTTTTTGTTTCCTTCTCCTTATGGGTTTCCTAAATGGAAGTCCCATTTGAGTTCGAATTAGGATTTAAAAAGTCACGTTATTTAGTTTCCTATTTNATATATAGTTTAAAGAGCAATAGTTTTATTTTTAATTCTACGATCTCTTTTTCTTCCTTTGATAGTCCAAAAAGAGTTTTATAGTGCAATCTTGTGGTATCTAAAAAGCTATGGCATCATTTGCTGGCAAAGTCATCTTCCAATCGGCCTTAGGAGTGCAACTAATTGCCATATTCAATCAACAAAAGTTCAACGGAGTAGTACTACACATATTTTCATTAGTTGGTCGTCTCCTCCGTTAGAATTTATCAAAATCAACACGGCAGTTTTATGCCTAATTCAGGACTTAGCAGGTTTTGGAGGTGTTGGTCGAGATGGTAAAGGAAGGTGGATAAGAGGATTTTGCGGGCGACTTAGCATGAGAGTGACGTCAAGTCTTATACTGGAGTTAAATATTTTCTTATTTCTTCGTGGTCCTTATTTTTTTGAACGTCTTTTGTTGATATATGGTTGAGTTGCTCAGATGCTAAATTGTTTTTAAAAAAAAAAAAGAGAGAAAAACCAGTGTTATATTATCAATATGTATTAGTATTACGGTATTATTAGGGGTATAAAGGGAAAGAATAAAATAATTTGGTACAAAACAATTTCCTGGTCCTTTATGAGTTCATGTGTCATACTTTTTGACTGTTCCTGTAATTCCATGCTCTTTATATTACATTCATTTCAGTCATCTTTATAGATTTTAATCCCTCTTATTTTGATAAAGAGGATCTTTTGATAAACTGTTAGTTTATTCAAAAGCAAATAATACTTTTCAATTTTCATAACTTCACGAATAATAACCCTGTCAGTGGGAACTTGTGATGGTATAAACCTACAAAAGGAAGGATATATATCTTTTTATTTTTATTTTTAAAAAAGGTGGTATCTGTGTCAATTTATACGTATCGCATTGAACAAGTACCGGATAGTTTTTATCTACCAAGGCTTAGGTGGAATTCAGCTAGTAAACTGAGAAAAGAGGTGGTATAAGAAACAGACTATGCTACAATTCCAAGGTAGATTATATGATTAATGGATCATGCTGCTCTATTGAAGCTAATTGTAGACCTATATTATACAATAAAAAGTTATAATAATAAAACAGTAGACGTGTTTAATATTTTCTATTAGTATATAAATTTTTGATAGGACTAGAAGACGAGAGAAGATAACCTAAAGTCAGGGAAATTGGATTTTCTTATTAAATTTTCTTTTTCTAGATTAAGATATCACTAGGCCAATATCCTAAAGAAGGAATGCTTTGATTTTGTGATTCCTTCTTTCCGCTCTCAGCTTAGCTACTAACTAAAATATAGTCCCAACAGCTTATAGAGATATTTCTTACATTGTGCTCAATTTTTGCTAGGTCTGCATGGATTTAAAGAGCTTGTAGTTCTTTCAATACGGCCATGTTTTCATGTGATTTTAGGTTCGCTTTGTTCCCTTTTAACACTCATGTCAAAGCGATCTAATCTCATTTTATCCTTGATTTGTACTGCTACTTGTACCTTTTGTTAGATGTGATCATTCAAAAAATATTCCTCTTTTCTTCAAGTTTGTTCGTGAAAACAACAGTTACTTTAATATTATAATTCGTCAATGCCTAGTGATAATCTAGCTTTTATTTAAGAATTCTTATCTTGAAGCTCTACTGAAATTCCCCCTCCATTCCCTGTTCCACACCCAAAAGAAAAAGGAAATATCTAAAATACATGCCGATTAACACGACGATTTAGCGTTTCAAACACTAAGATGAACGTAACGAGATATGATGATAATCGTGTGATAATGCTGTTAAGTGTTAGCACTATTTTTGTTTCATGTGTTACTATTACATCTTCGCTTAGAAGGGAGTAGGAAAGAAAAATAAAAGTTCATCATTTGAAAAGTCGCGACATTCCTCGGCTTCACAAAAGGAAATACAAGTAAGTCTTAGTAACTATCCATGAACCAAAATGATTCGGACTTGAATTTGTACGCAATTCTTTGATCAGCTTAAGATTGCTTGATAAGTTGGAGTTTGGGAGATTATGATAAAATAAATATGTTTTACTTCTTTATCTAAGCTTTCATCCTAACAAATCCGCAGAAAGAAAAATAAAACATAAGCTCTTTGCATGGGAAATAATAGACGACATTCACAATACAAGGTGTAGTATTAGATCAAGCTCGTTATATATGCTTCTGTTATTACTTACTACATTCAACAGAACCAAGAAATTCAAATACATCAAATATCAACAATGTCTAAGGCCTAACGAATCGAGCCTATAAGCCAAGAAACAACATATATTAATCAAAAGAGTACGCGACATAAATAAAATACACACTTGTTTTTTTTAAATTACTTTTGAAGCTCATGCTTCTCTTATTAGATGAAATACATATGTGGTTTTCTTGAGTTTGGAAGCTCATGCTTCTCTTATTAGATGAAATACATATGTGGTTTTCTTGAGTTTGGAAGCTCATGCTTCTCTTATCACTAGTACTTCATTTCAGCAAATCAGAAATATTCGAATAAATACAAATTATTAAGCGACTAGTTTGTTACTTCATTTTTCTTCTTCAATCCTTGAAGACTTAAGCCTTCTTAAACATAACTTTAAATGGGACATCACTTAAAGCCAAACGTCTAGTCCCATCCTGAATGAAGATTCCAACATCTTTGCAAATGACCTTGCAGAAATTGCATACTGTAGGACAATATACCAGCTTATAATCACGTTCAAATTTATCAATCTTGAACCAGTTGCTTATAGTTTCCCTACCAGGATTTCCTTCATTTCCACCAATCGTAATAAAATATTTCCCTGTCGCTTCATCAAAGTCATCTAGCTTCCACAGCGTTGTCTGAACACAGATTGAGGCTGCAGAGAACTTGATGTTTAAATCAGTGGACTCGCGAATCACGCCTTTCTTTGGATTAACAGGTGTAAAGGTCAAAGGAAGGCCATTTTTTATCTCATGATGTTCTTGGACAACAGCATCAAGTGGACAAGATTCATTGCCAGTACTATCTAAGGTGAGTCCACCACCTCGTCCACGGACCACTGGCAAGATGTAGTAATCGACGCCTGTCCGGAGTTTCTTTCCAGCAATGTCGATTACTGCTGGAGGGGCTTCGGCTGCTGAGGAGAGGAAAGAGTTAAAAGAGATGGTAAAGATGAGGAAGGGAAGGAAAAGTTGATTGGTCTTCATTTTGAGCTGTGTTTGGTATGTGGAGTTAATGTAATGTTAGCAAATGGATTGAAGGCTTTTGGGGTTTTTATAGCTGTGGGAATTCAAGAAATGCACATGGCCATGGGATTAAAAAATTGTGAAGGTTGGGAGATCTGATCTCAAAGAAGAATCGTTTTTGACTTTCACATAATTCAAAAATTTCTAATTCTAGATCAATCTCAGTATTAACTTACTACTTTCTGACGAATTGATAAGATACTGAGAAAATGATGAGCATGTATAGCCTATTAAACAATGCGTTGCTTTACGGCATGTTACAAGTTTATGGTTGCCAAATCGTTCAAGACTTTCCTCTAGCTTCATTTTGCTTATAACATGTACTGCTACTTTTTGATTCGTTCCAAAAAGAATGACCCATTTCTAAATTTGGTAATAATTTAGCTTAAACTTACAATTCTATCCTTAATGAGAAGCTTTTATAACCACACAAATACTCTTGGCCCCTTTTTGATTTGTTTAAGACCATAAATTCCAAAAGTCTTTCATTTTTTCTTAAACTCTGTGCCCAGTCAAACAGGTTCACACAAATTGAAACGGATGGAGTATAAGATACTCTTTTTCCGTCAAAGTTTCAACATTCAAAGGTCAAACTTAATAAGGTCAACATTATTTATTAGAGTTACATGCTGATCGCTAGTTCTGCGCAAAGGTGTACATATTCAATTTATTGACAATATTTTATTGAGGTTACGTCATACATTAGCTAGACATGAAGATTAAATGTGGTTAGTCTGGATAAGATGATCTGGATGCACCTCACATGATGTGTCAATCAACATCTCTAAACTTGTGATTAGGGGCTGCTGTGGACTCTAATCTTCCTTTTCCAGCTAACACAAAAAAAAATTGAAAAACACACACACACACAAAACAATGATCAGAATCTACTCCCTGCCAAGATTATGACACAAAAGGAGAACTTACTACTCCAGAGGATATTCTAATCCAAAAATGCAATGTGCGAAAGAAAATTATAACACAAGTGCAATAGATGCATTTGCACATAGCCGAAGATAATTAACCGAGGAGCACTTCCTACATTGTGTTTATCTACCACAAATTAAGTAGTGTCTTCCATAGTTAAAAGAACTGGGACTGGAATCTTTTCTAGGACTCTTTGTCCTTGTCCCAAACATAAATCCAGGGCAGAAAATATTATAGCTGCCAAAAGACTACATTTCTGCACTAATAGTAAAAAGATCCAAATTTGATTGCTTTAGAATTGTATCTAATACCCTGTATATACCATCATAGACATGTTGTTTCGCAGCTTCGGCAACAAATTCATGTAGAATTCCATTAATTTCAACCCAACTACAACCAGGTTTTTTCTTGATTCTTTGATCTCTCATCATCTTCACAGTCCTGGAAGCATCTTCCAACATATTACCAGAGCTATACAAATTCCAAAGAAGTACATACACCCCGTCATCGTGAGGTTCTAATTCAAGTGCTTTCTCTGCAGACATTTCAGCTAATTCCAAATTTCTATTCGCGACACAAGCAGTCAAAAGTGATCTCCATATTACAGCATCAGGTTTCATTGGCATCTGTTGAATCAATCTCACTGCTTCATCTATATGACCCGCCCGACCAAGGAGATCAACCATACATCCATAATGCTCTATCTTAGTTGCACAACTACTGTCATTCTTCAGCCTGTTAAATAATTCTTTCCCCTCGTTAACTAATCCAGCATGGCTGCAAGCAGATAGAACGGATAGGTACGTAATCTCATTTGCAGCTACCCCAGATTCCAACATCTCATCAAAAACCTCTAGGGCATTTGTTCCTCTACCATGAAGTGCCAAACCTAAAACTATGCTAGTCCACGTGAAAGCATCCTTTTTTATCATTCCTCTAAAAATCTTTGTAGCAAAATCAAGATTCCCACTTTTAGCGTACATATCAATCAGCGCATTATTTACACCAACGTCGACAGCAAAACCAGCTACCTTGTTAACATACCCGTGAATCGACCTCCCAAAATCCAGAGCTCCAATATCAGCACAACCAGATAGCACAGCAACTATTGTGATTGTGGTCGGGCTGTCATCGCCTTCCTTCCTCATTCTCTTAAACAGTTCCAACGCCCTAACCGGTTCTTTGCGACGTACACATCCCACAATCATCACAGTCCACGAGATGGCATTCCTGTGGGACATTTCCTCAAACAACTTCCAAGCAGACTCAATCTCCTCGGAAACTACAAACCCGTTGAGCAAACTAGTCCAAGTAGCAATGTCCTTAACGTGCATACTATCGAATACACGTTGAGCCAAATGGATCCTCTCCGTTCGGCTATACATATCGATCAGAGCATTACCCACAATGGGTTCAGGTTGACTGAGAAATTTATAGACCATAGCGTGCACTGTTTTTCCATTAAGCAGGTCTTGCGTGCGAGCACAAGCTGAGAGAGCTGCAACTATGGAATGGGAATCAGGTTTAAGAGAAATTGAAACCAGTAAACGGGTGAACAGAGAGAAGGCTTTAGTAGGTTGTTGTAATTGCAAATGCAGAGACAGAAGACAAGTCCAGGAGACAATATCTGGATGGGGAATTTGATCGAACACTTTGTGGGCAGCAAATGGTTTGTACAGTTTGGCATATGCATTGAGCAATTTGCAGGGAAAAGATTGATGAGATTGCGCAAAGAGACCACAGGTGATGGATTGAGCGTGAATTTGCTTGATCAAATGCTCATGGCTTACGCATTTGTCAAGTAGACGTTTCAAGGTTGTAGCTGTCGCTGCCAGTATCTCGCTGTTTTGGATGACATGAAAATTCATTAGAGCTCAAATATAGTCCTAACAGAAAAGAAAAATATTACAAGGCAAAGAGTTCTCTAAAATTTCCTTAAAATTAATTACAACAATAAATTGTTAAAGAAAAGTGATTATCAGTACCAAACGCTAATAGGTACAAGTGACATTGAAACCAAAGAAATGAGGTAGTTTTACTCTTAACTTCCAAAACTTGTAGATTTCCTAAGTTTCAGATGTCTAATAATATTTGATGCGTTCCCACAAATATACAGAATTCCTCAAATATTTGATCCGTTTTTCGCAAATATTAGTGAATGAGTGAAAGAGAGTTTTTGTAGGGAGAGGAAAAACAGTGATGACTCGCAGGGGAGGAAATGCCAACACCAAGGTAAATGCCAGTTAAATATCCGATCAACTGCATGAGCTACTAAAAACTCCATCAATCAATTAGGTGAGTTATTCAAATGGATAAGCAGCTCAATCTTCATTTACACTAATCTACTTCAGAACAAATTACAGGGCTATAGTATGCCTTCACTACATTTTTGGACAATCGCCCGTCCCAAATACTCCATAAATGCACCAAGTTCTTGTATATGATGCGCAAGGACCAGAACTGAGTTTATGAGTTACTATCTTGAGCATCTCCAACGACATGCGCCCTGGAAAAGAGCGATAAATATCAGAAGCTAGCAGAGAAGAGTACACATAGAGCCTTAACGGCACATTTCAAAAACATGTAAGGTCAGGATGTGCAAGAATAGGACACTTACCTTGTAATAAATCGATCATACACCTATAATCCTTTCGCAGACAGAGCTCAAGTCAGGAACTTTCTTGATACTGCATTCAAAAAGAGTATTAAACATATCAATAATTTAAAACCATAATAATCAAACCTAGTACAGCCAAAACTTAATAAGAAACAAAAGACAACCAACCATATACTCTTCATCAAAAGAAGCCACGCAAATAGACATTATTGTCCAAAAGTTTTTTGGCAACCATATACTCTTTGCCATAAGAAGCCACTCAAATGAACATTCTCTAAAGGTTATGGGGGTTTAAAGGCATTCTAATGATGGCTTACATGACAACCAAGAATTAAAACTCAAGCCATAAAATTGAGATTTCTAGAATATTCTTAGTGATTTTGTCATTGTTGAAACGGAAAAGGGCCTGATATACCCCTCTACTTTGCTTTATTGTTCAATCATGTCCTCCATTATACTTTCCGTTCAGATTTACCCCTGCCGTCCATCAAAGTTCTAAATTTGCCCCTATTTTAACGGCGGAGACACGTGGCACATTCTGAACAAAAGACTCATCCCCAATTTTAAAACCCGCCCCTTAATTCAACCCATTACCCGACACCCATTCCCAACTCACTTCTCTTCCGTGAAGATCAGAACTTGGACTCATTTCAATGATAAATATCAAAATGATGATACTCGAGCAAATACACATTCCAAAAGATTGAAAATCAAATCTTGATCATCAAATTTACGTACAGAGAAACATATCTTTGTTCCTCTTCTTTCTTTATGTTTTTTCCTCAAAAGTAACCCACACAACTCAATTTGTTGATTCAAATGCTTTAAATCCACTAATCATCTCAAAACCAAGAAAATATGGAAGTAATGTGTAATTAATTAAAAGAAGAAAAATAGTTACTGCTGGGTTGTTGTTGTTGTAAGAAAAATAGTAACTGATTTTGTGTAATAGCAGCAGAGAGAACGACCCAAAAATTTCTTTCATTTCTCCAACACTTTATTTGTCAAAGGCCCTTTATATGGTGTCAGGTGGTGCTCAAACAGTGGCAGTTCCGGCGGAGCTGCCACCACCGCTTGACCGGAAAAACACCTCAACCACCTATACTTCCAATTCTAGCACACCCATTTAGTAATTTCCTCTGATTTTGGTGCTGAATTCTTGCTCTGTTTTGCCTTCATGACTAACTTTATCACCAAAATCTTTACTTTGTGGCTGATTCTTTACAGTTGATAATTATTGATTCGATCTGGAAGAAGGTATGGGTGCTATTGCTAACTTATTCACAAAAGGCTTCAAGGGACTTTTCAAGATTTCAACTTTATCATGTGACTCATTTCTTTAGAACATAATTTTTAGCAATATCCAATTCTCTTTTCAAACTAGGAGCTCAATAGTGATATTTTGAGATCTGAAAATAGTAACGTTTTGATCTTGATGTGAAAAACTGGGGGAAAGTAAGAGTGAATTGGAGAGAAGTGAGTTGGGGAATGGGTCGGGTTGGGTTATTTTCTGAGTTGGATTGGTTCATTCTTTTAGAATGCGCCACGTGTCTCAGCCGTTAAAATAGGGGCAGATTTAGAACTTTGATGGACAGCAGGGGTAAATCTGAACGGAAAGTATAACGGAGGACAGGATTGAACAATAAAGCAAAGTAGAGGGTTATATCAGACCCTTTTCCGTTGTTGAAATAATGATTAGGAATCTCAACAAGTAGGAAATTTTCCTTATTTCATCTCAAACATAAGGAGCCCATCTGTACATTGTTAACCAACCACTTCACTTAGAGCAATTCTCTCTTTCTCTATTCGTAGTAAGCAATAACTAAAATGGTTCGAAAAACAAGTGTCAAGAAACAGCAGTAAGTATGCCAGTACCAAGCCAATTGAGCAAACTAAGCAATAACTAAAATGGTTCGAAAAACAAGTATGCCAGTACCAAGCCAATTGAGCAAACTAAGCATTGGCAAGTTATCTTCACCTTTATCACTAATGTTGACATAGCCTTTAAGAACAAATTTCAAGTATATAAATAAAATGGACAAAGGTTTTAAAGGAAGCAGTCTGAATCCACAAGTCACCTACATAGCAGTAGAAAATAGATTAAGCGAAGATGTCTTTGGAGACTGGACCTGTGACCTCTAAAACAGAACAAATCCTACCACACCATGCTCTCACATAGTAAAATCAAATCAAAATTTAGTATAATGTTTTACATGAGAGATACCTGTACAAAAGGTCTCCAGTGGGAGCAGACTTCTTGCATAGCCAATCTGGAACTAGTCTCTCAAGAAGTTCTATCTGCCCTTCCACATCAGCTACATTAAGACAAAATGGTTTTAGATCTATCAAAAAGTAAGAAAAGAAAGGATATAGCTTTTGAGCATACTGTTCTCATCAATATCATAGTCATGCACTATGATCTTGTGAACAAGCTCCACTTTAGTCATTGAACGGCAGCCAACAGACTGGAAAATGCGGTGAATTAGACGAACAAGATCGGATAAACCAAGAGATTCCTGCCGGGCCGCAGTCAAATGACTTTGATAATTCTTCTCTTCCTTGCTAAAGGAGCAACTCCTTTCCTGAACCTACCAGAAGATTCACAATCAATTTCATGGTAAATCATATTAATAAAGCAAGTCAAACTAAAAAGGCAATAGTCCAAGTTGCCTTTAGCTCTGAACATGCTTAGTAGGCAGAAAGCAATCCAACCATACACTTGGATAACGACCCAGGTAACAATGGTACCTCATGAGGGCATATATCAGCATTAACATGATCTTCCTTTGAAATCGACTTCCTTTCCATTTTAAGGGCATTATCTACATCTTCATGATGCTCTATACTGCCAGAACTCAAATCTGAAGATATCTCTTCACCACCCAAGGTGGAAAAATCCAATGACCTTTTGACAATTAGATTGGAAACAACAGAGTTTTGGCATGTCATACTCTTGTACTTATTTTCGGTAATTGGCACCGATCTCTTTGGTGTGGGCTGAGCAGGTGTTTCAAGCATTACTTCACTTTCAGACAGGAGCTTCATAGGAGTTCTTTCATTTGCAACCAAACTACAACCTGGTAGAGGTTGGCTCTCTTCAACATTGTTCAGGTTGATGGAGGATTTGGGTGACTTAGGAGATCTCCTTTTAGAATCAAGATCCTCATTCAATGTACATTCAGATACACAAGGTAAGCATGCCGGCGAAGGTGCTGAGAGATGATCTATCTTTGCTTCTGTAGAAACAGCCTGCCGAGAAAAGCGTGGACTGAAAGATGGACAGAGATGAGATGATGATAATAATTCAGACTCAAGTGGACTTGGTAAGTCCATAGGCAACCGGTCTGCATTGCTAGTGAGGCAGCTTTGGTTAAACGGATCAGGAAGTATGGCTTCGGGTATGTCACAATCCTGCTTTACAGTTAGCAAAATGAAAATCTTTGAGTGTATTTATGACGGAAATAACTTAGTTACACAAATAAAGATGCATAATCAGTGTCTCGACCTCCAAATAGCGGGATATCACACATTCTAAGCCTCAAATAGCAATTTAAAGAACAAAATTACTTCAAGAAAAGAGTTAATAGGTTACAGCAAGAAATCTAATGCACAGACTTATAATACATTATTCGGGGTTAAGATGATTTTATCAGGAAAGGAAGTTATGTTATTGCAAGAAATATTCTTGAACAATTACCTCTTTCTGGTCATGATATAGCAATTTTTGCTTCATGCATTAGAGGAGGAAAGGTCTATGCACGGAAAAATAAATTAAAAAAACAAAGAGGGTATCTTTCAATTAGATACTTCTGTTTACTGAAGCATCAGATTCTGTATATCCAATTCTACTTGTGTAAAGACTAGTTTGAAGAATTCCTCGGAAGCCGTTAAATTCCAAAACTTTAAGGGTTATTACCTGAGCATGTTTATGGAGAAAATCCACAAGCCTGGATGCAAAAAGATTGCTGAGGGTCATAAACATTGAGTGTTCTTTGTGATCTTCAACAGCATCGAAATGCAAGGTAATTTTAACATCTGGCTTCATGCACATGGTCTTCTCATCGTGCACAAGTAATTTATCTATCTGAACGGCTTCAGGAACTATGTATTTTATCTGTGCGAGATGCCTGTGTGAAAATTTTCTGACAAAAGAGAATAGAGGATTAAACACTTAATTGCTGAACCATGGTCCAACTAAGTACTGAAAATGAAAATGATACTACTCTACTCTTGTATGATACATTTTGTGGCTGCAGTTGGTCAACAGTAGATATACTAGTGAACTAAGGCCTCATTTGTTTTTCTTAAGATTAAGACGTTTGAATCTGAATACATATCTGAATATCAAGATGTGTATTAAGATTAAGACATCTGAACATTAAGATGTGTTTTAAGATCTGAATGCAATTAAGATTATTTGTTTTTTAACATCTGAATATATAGAATTTATCTTTATTTAAAAAATAATAAACATAAATTCAAA